CAATCCCAAGCTGCATCAGAGCTATCAGACTTTTAAGAAAACCTTTCTATTACAAATTGAGACTTTCTTCTGAGAAATCTTCTCTTTCCCTGTAAACAGAAAGGAGAAGAATATTTGAAGAAAGAAAGCAATGCGGCGTGTGCAAAAATCAATTTACCGTGAGGGCTCGAATCATCCTTGAACTTGGAGATTTGAAATAAATGTCCTCTTCGAGAATAGTATAGAAACTCCTCTTTGAAGGTGGGATCTCCCTCTCTTAATGTCCTATGAATGACTATCAATGTCTTTAGGGCAACCTGAATTTGATTAACAGACACAAGGCTGAAATTAAAGATACTATCTCACAAACTACAAACTGCGCTCCAATATATTGAAGCAAGCACATAGGGGATGCCTAAATAAACCCATTCGATGTATGAGAATTCAAAGATTCCAATAGAAACCCCCTTCTGAAATGGGACAATACAAAGCCATCAAAACAACACACAAAATCAGAAATGAGAAGAGAATATTTACAATCCAACTGCGCGTCTTTGCCAGTCTTCTCGACAGTGCATGGATGCAATAAGCAACATCAGCTCTCGGGCAAGATACGGATGTCACAGCAAATATTTCTGAGATGAAATACAGGATAAAATGTTGAGAATTTCGAAGCAAGGAGAAAACTGAATGTTCAACACATTTCAACTTAAACCGGTATTAAATAAATCAATGGATATAGCATCAAATATATATAAAGCGGAAAGCCTCAAGAAATGACATTGTATTATCGATCAGATAACTCACTTCTAACGTGCCGTTCCTTCGGCGGACATTCGACATGGTTGGTGGCCTTGACAATTGCAATATCCAAATCCTTAACACATTAAGGCCATGAATTAAAATCCCATTAAGAAATTTAGCAAATGAAGCCCAAAATCTTGATCAAGAAATTAAAAAAAATCCCATCTGGTAGGTACACGTATTTAAATATGCCATCAATGTGTTTGATTTATATACTTACCTTGAATTCGCTATTGACCTTGGCTAGGCCAACAGTGGTGGAGTCTTTAAGCGCCCCATAGGCTTTTCTAAAGCTATCCATTTACATAGACATGCCACACCCAGTTACTATATTCAATATCCAATCAAATCCCTGCATATCAAATGAAGAACAAAGATCCTAGAAAGAGAATATTGGATTTCTTGTTCTCATAAAAAAATACCGATGACCTTTCTCTCTCTTCATGTGTGTGTGTGTGTGTGTATATATATATATATATATATATATATATTAGTTTGTTCTGTTATGTTATATAGCTATATTTGATGTAGAATAAGTTTTGAAGAAAGCAAAGATACGAGACAGTTGTACGAGGATTACATTTAGTTGTTGTCCGGTAGTTGTTGGATGTTAGCCATTTGCCAATAATTGGATTGGAATAATTCTATTTGGTGCAACCGAAAGTTGCCTTCTATCTCTTGTCACCTGTCTTGCATGGAGTCTGGAATATATACACACATAGTAGAAAATAAGTAAATCTACATTTCGGCTAAAAATCAAAATTTTAGTAGATTTTAAGAAAAGTTAACAAAACGTATAGTTAAAAAGTTGACAAAAATTGTAAGTCCAATAAATATGTGATTGAAAATGAGTTTTAGAAAAACTGAATTATAGAGAATGGGGCTAAATAAATTATAGAAGGCCGGGCATAAGAAATTTTGTTTTGGGTCTAGCATGTATTAGACAAGCCAGAATTTTAGGCCCGTTGCTTATGCGTGACATATCCTATGTAAAAATAGGTGTGTTAGAATTTGGATGTGACCCAAATTCTATATTGAAGATAACTGAAAGTTCTAATTAAAGTGCATATTAAGAAAATTTCTATTTGGAATACTATTGTTGAATTCTATTCAAGTTTACTTGGTGAATTCTAGTTGAAATTTTACTTGGAGGTCCAATTGGGAGTTGAAATTTGTGTTGGGCTTGAAAAATACTTTGAAATGAAAAAAAAAAAAAAATCAGGGCACCAGGGAGCCGGCACCCCGACGCTGCAGCGCCCGAAGAGTGGTGTCGTGGCATCACAATGCTGTTTTTTGCCTACTTCGTTTCTTGTATTTTACTTCAAATATATCTCTACTATGAGGGTTTTGATATCTCCTATTTATTCTCTATATATAATAGGCTCTTCATTATGATTTTGTAAGAAGTTAAAAATATTGTAAACACAAATTTTTGTATTATTTCTCCATATTATAATAAAATCTCTATTTTCTACATATTGTTTTGTTCTTCTCATCAATTACTTCATATTGTAGTTATAATCTCTTATTTTCTCCAACAATTTGGTATTGAATTAATCCGGTATCATCACAACAAATTGGAATGAGAGCTTTTGGTATTGAAATTCTTAGGAAGAACGAGGTTTTGATTAAATTAATAGCTCACTTGATCTTTTGTGATTGTAACAATGAAGTATGATATTTCGTTATTGGATCGCAATACAAGATCCTCTTTGTGGCAGGTAAAGATGACAACGGTACTCGCTCAGACAAATTTAGACGACGCGTTATTGAGATTTGATAAGATCTCCACAACTTGAACTTTGAAGAAAAAATAATGGAGGAATCGAAAGGCTCTATCTCAAATACTTCTTTATCTTTCAAATAATATTCTTTGAAACATTTTGAAAGAGAAATTAGTCGTTGCATTATGGTTAAAATTGGAGTAATTATGCATGACTAAGAGTCATATTAGCAAATTGTATCTGAAACAACGTTTATATTCTCCTTAAGTACTCTTGGTTCAAAAAAGTACATGTATACTATTGAAGGTGGAGTTCTAAATATTAGTAAAGTAGCTGTATTTTATTAAAGGAACATAAAAAATCTCATTTATATATCTTGTAGTGTTATAGAAAATCTTTGAGCAATCAGTATATTTTAAGAATTCGGGTGGATTGGAGTTGGATTCTGTACTGTTGGAGTCTAATTTAGAATATTCCTTAAGGAATCATCTCAGTTGAATTTAGAAGTTATGGATAAATATGTTTTGCTACCATCATCGGCGGTGTCATTGTATTCAGTTGTTAGTAACAGACCCAATTTTTGCCATAAAATTTCACATAGGTACAATTCTGCTAATTTAGTTTATGGTTTGAATGCGACTAAGGGTGTTGATTCTACTCAAGATCATTCTTTGATGCATTTGGTTGTGATTCTGTTACAAGGCTTATTTCAGCTTTATTTGTTGATCATTAGATCACTTTGCCCCTAGTTGGGGTGACAGATGTGGAGAATATTTTCAGTTGAAATTTTTTATGGGGAAGTTCATTTCTGTTTTTTATTGAATAGTTTAAGTTTATTCTTTGCATTGAAATTTGTTTCTAGGCGGAGAATTTTTTAAGTTTTGCTCATTGCAGTAGAATTCGTATCAATGTGGAAATTGTTAGAATTGGATATGACCCGAGTTTTTTGCTGAAGATAATTGAAAGTTCTAATTATAGTGCACGTTAAGAAGAATTATATTTAGAATGCTATTGTTGAATCATATTCAAGTTTACTTAGTGAATTTTAGTTGAAATTCTATTTGGAAGCTCAATGAGGAGTTGAGATTTGTGTTGGATTTAAAGAAGACTTTGGAATAAAGGAAAACATTTTTAGAATGTATTTGTGACAGGGATAGAGACAGGATGCCGCCAACGTAAAAGAGAAACATCGTTGGCGCTCGACAGCGGCACTGCTGCTCTCGGAGAGTGGCGCCACAATGCTATTTTTTGTGTACTTCATTTTGGACTCCGCTTCTTGCATTTCAACTATAGCTCTAATATTAGTGTTTGGACGTCCACTATATATAGTTAGCTCTTCATTATGATTTAATAGAAAGTTATAAACATTGTAAACACAAATCTTTGTATTTTTTCACCATATTATAATAAAATTTTCATTCTCTATAAATTATTGTGCTCTTGTGATCAATTACTTCGTATTATTGTGGTTATAATCTCTTTTTTCCTCCAACAGCTTGTTATTGAATTAATCTTATATCGTGTCTGCTTTTCACAACAAGGTGTACCTAATAAACCAAGTTGAGTTGCATCTATCACAAGAACCTATTATGAAGGTGTTAGATGCAGTACAATGTAACACCCTTTTGAATTTTAGGAAACTTGTCATTGATATAATAAGAAGCCAATACTTATTCTGTATAA